GCGGGCTCCCCAAATGGTGATGAAGGCCTTGTCTCTGAAATAAGGCGAGAGGAGAGGAGAGGAGAGGAGAGGAGAGGAGAGGAGAGTGTGAGGAAGTCTGGCGAGAATAGTCAGGGAAAAGCCAGAACCGAACAGAGAACAAAACGAAACGCATTTTCCCAAGCAGGAACAAGTAAAATTGGGAATGAGAAAAAGCCCCGTTTTTCCCAGAGACCTGAGACTCAATTGCTGTGAATATCTGCATAGGCGTAATCAAGATTCTTTGGGGGAAAAGCCGGAAAATGGGAACGAAAACGAAAAAAAATTACTAAAGAGCTGAAATAAATGCTAAATATAAGCTTTAAATAAATATATATTAATTTTTGGGGACTTTTAAAGTGAGGATTAGTGTATTTTATATTTTTATTTAATTTATTTTGCTTAATATTTAAGTTTAAAATATTTAAAAAATATTTAAAATATTTATAAAAGATATAAGTTTAAATATAAATTTTTAAATGCAAAACATTGGCGAAAAATAATTATATATTAATTTTTGGATATTTAAAGTGAGGATTTTGGGTATTTTATAATTTTATTTTATTTTTTTTGGTTAATATTTTAGTTTAAAATTAATTTTAACATATTTTATTTATAAAAGAAATAATAATTAATTAATAAGAATTAATTAATATAAATTAATAAATTTAAAGCTTAAAATAAATTTAAATTTAAATTTGTAAAGGAAAAACAAAATTATTTGTAAAAGAAAAATTAAAATTAAATTAATATAATTATTTTTAATTATTTACTTATATTTTATATAATATTTAAAGATATCCTAAGTTCATAATTTCAATTTCCAAAAACTAATTCCTTACGCAATAAAGCTTCCCCCTATCTTACTCTCTTTTTTTATTTAAACAAAAAGTTAGGTCTCCCTCAATTACAGTTTAACTAATATATATATATACATCTCCTTCTCTTTACCCTGAAATCAAATTGAATTACAAAAGAGATAAAGCCAACTCGATAAAAAGTAAAAAAAAAAAACCATAGAAAGACAGAAATTTCAGTCTCATTGTAATTTTTACACCTTCACACCACCATTTTCCTTTTCCACTGTTCACCTTCATCTCCTGGGAAATGCCAGTGCCACTTGAGGAACTTTTAGTGCGTCTCAATGCGCATTTTAAATAAAATAGAAATTCAATTTACTTTAAATAAGCGACAAGGTGTGTGCCAGGTGGGTGGGGATAACAAGGTGACAACCGGGCGACACGTCAATGCCAGAGTTTCCACAGCTTTTCCGCCGCACAAATGAAATGTAGAAAATCTACAAAAAAAGAAAAGGAAAACAACACGAAGTAAAAATGAAAGAAAAGCAAAAGAAAAGAAAAAGTTTTCTTATTTTTTTTTTGCCCTACTAAATGAACTTAAAATTGACTAAATGTGCTAGAAAAAAGGTGCGAAGCTCCCGGGGGAAGATGCCCGGAAAATGCCAAGTAAAATCGGATAAGAGGGGAGTGGAAATTGAGGGATGCGAAGAACAAGCGACGAATATAATTAAGCGGCGTTTAAAATGCTTGTACTAAGACACGCGGCGGTGGCGGAACAGGCTGAAAATTGTGTAGAGGCTGCGTTAATTGTGGGGGTGGTAGGCGAAACTCGAAAAACTTTCCGCAAAGTTTAATTTAAATATGAATGAGCGTTTTTCCACCAACCACCACCCACACACCCACCCCTCCCCTGGCGTCGGCTACTTTTCTTTTCATTTTCTTCTTAAAATTAAATGGACTTTCTCTGTGACTTGAGTTTGCGGTTTCAATTCTAGTTGAATAAATGCTTAATAAAATTAATGGTTGTGTTTTTAGTAAATAATATAATTTAATAGTAATACTAAAGTTTAAAATATATATTTTAAAACTTATATTATATTTTATATTATTATGTATTATATATTATATTTTATAACCAAGGTTTCCTAATTACAAAATGATTTTCGCTGAAACTATAGCTCAAGTTCATACTTTTCTATAAAATTTATTCCTGGAAAATAAGGAAAATCCTTTCACAAAAAGAAAACTGGGTGGCTGTTGGCTTGCCTTGTTTTTCCAAAGTTACTGCCTCTTCTTCTTTCTGGGGGACTTAAAGGGGCATTATAAATTGCTACCTAATCCAACGGGCTTAGAGCTGCTCTCCTCTCACTGTGTTTGTTTTCATTGCCACGATGATGGTGGTGGTGGAGGATGGATGCAGGATGGGGGGGGAGGAGGATAAATCCAAGGGTGAGAAGTCTCCGGCTTTGATTTCACAACAGATTTACTTGCTGGCCATATTGTTGCCTGATTTTCTACCTCGTCTCTTCGCCTTTGTTGTTGCCAGGTGATAAGGCAAATCGCATTCGCTGTTCCGCCGGTCGCCATAAACCGCAGAAAAGGATCAAGGCTAAGGACTTACTCTCTCTCTCTCTCTTTCTCTCTTAGTCCCGGGTCTAAAATCGCGTTTTTCGCATAATTATAAAGCAGCTTTTCGAGTGCACTTTCCACACACAAAAGTAGTAGAAAAAAATTATTTATATAAAAAAAAAAAAAGGAAAATGATGGTGGCGCTGGGTGGGTGTGGTTGGTCCATTGATGGCCAGGCGCCAAACTGGCGGCCGCCACACACCCTCAGAAAAAAAATACGCAGAAACGAGAGAAAAACTGCGGAGAAAAAGGCGAGAAAAACAAACAAAAACAGACATAAATACAGTTGGGGATTTATATCGCTTTCTCTATGTTTGTGTCTGTGTGTATGTCTGTGTGTGTGTGGAAAAGACACTTGTAACACTTGTAAGATAACGGGAAAGCATCCTCCCACTCTTTCTTTAGTCTCCACTTATCCTCTCTCCTTTTCGCTCTAATCAATTTATTGAATTTATTTTTTTTCTGATTTTATTAAAGCGCGCAAAAAGCATTGATAATAATAGTCAAGAAGAAAAACGGAAACGACTATGAGATACCTGGTATGGTTATACGAAATTATAGAAATTGATGGGATTTTATATTGTAAATAAATATTTATAAAATATACATTGGTTTCTTCATCAATTTTATTAAAATTTAAAAAGGTTCTGGGTGTCATAATATTTTTTTCAATTTATTTTCTTAATTATTAACTCGTTGATCTATTCTATTTATATGGATGATAAATGATTATTTATTTATTAATATAAAATTTAAAGTTATTAATATATTTAAAAAATAATTGAAATTTTTTTTGGTCTTTATGATACTCGTTAGATCTATTCGTTATTATTTACTCGTTGATCTTTTATATATTTATAAGGATTATAAAAATTAGAGAGTTTTCTAAATAATTTTCTATTTCTTAATATTAAATTTATAATTATTAAATAATATATTTAAGAAATAATTAAAATGTCTGGTTTTTATGATACTCGTTAGATCTATTCGTTACTATTTACTGAATATTTAAGCTTACCCTAAAGAAAAACAATTTTTAGACAGCAAAAATAGATATATATATAGATATATATAATATATATATATATACATTTATTGACAGCTTCGAAAAGGCTCAAAGGAAGTGGGCGTGGTCCTGAAATTGTCACTGGTCTGAAGCAAGTGGATTTCGTTTGGCGCCTGGCATAATTAAGTTAGAACCTTTTTTGCCCACCGCCGCCGCCATCGTTTTGTGACGGACTGGAGGGTTTTTCCCCTTGGAAAACAACCAGTTTTTCACATTTCTATTGTTGTTGTTCTTGTTGGTGTTGTGGGTGCTGCTGCTGCTGCTGAAAGGACGCTCTGATTGCTCCTCGATGGCTAAAGGATGTGTCTAGGACACGCTCAAGCAGTTAACACACTCGACTGTACTTAGCCCTAAGCCCACGGAAACTAAAGGCGGCCTAAAAATATATATATATATATAAAGGAAGGGAGGGGGGGTGGCGATTGGGATTACCAAGGAGACGAAAAAAAAGCAGCAAATGGTTTGCTAAATGATAATCCCTTTTCCAAAAGGAAACTCTCTCCATGGGCGATAAGAAAATGGGTGGATAGATACCGTGTCCCCTGGGGGGGAGGTAGTATTTAAAGTCAGATCATCATCCATCAAAGAGAATTACGAGACGAGAAAAAAATCTCCAAAGGCAGCTAATTTTTTTTAGTTTTAAATATCTTAATGGATAGGTTTTTTTTTTTTGAATATATTTTTTGTATTCTTTTGTAATATATAAATATATATAAAAAAAATTCTCTATGTGTGTTCTAAATGAAATTAAAAATTTAAAAACCTCTGAGTCCCCAAAAACTACTAAACCAACTAAATATTTCAAAACACATTTGATTAATTTCTCGAATTCTCTGAACCTCTGAACCCTTTGTAATTACATTACAATTGACTTTACAGTTACAAAAACTTGTGTAATGCATTTTTATTTAGGAAAAGTTTCTATTAAAAAGTTGAAAACACAGCTGCAGTTGATCAATCAAAACAAGCCGATAAAGTTTTGAAACTTTTTGTGGTCTAGATTCCATTTAAACATTGACTTTTATACCAATCCATGGATTTAAGCCCGTGTGTGTGTGTGTCTCTCATGGTTTTCCACTCAAACTTTTGTCAGTCATTTTCCATTTTCTCCTTTTCCTGCCGGTGTACCCACTAAAAAAAAAAAAATATATATATATATATATATCACACACACTCATCCATTATTTCCAATTCAAACTTTACCAATTACAAATCTGCTGCTGTGCAAAATGTTGGCCGTCAACTTTTTGCATATTTTCCCCACAGATTATCCACATACAAACATAAAACCCAAAAAATGCTGCATATAAAATATATATCTGTGTATTTAAAAAAAAAAAAATACTTAAGGGGAGAAATGATTTCCCACTAATTGTGAACATTTTTCAACGCTCTCTTCCCTTATTGTTTACACAAAATCCTGCTGCCGCCTGCACATTTAATTCATTCATTCATGTATATTTTTTTATTTATTTCGTCTTTTTCAGCTGGTCGGCGGTGAATTCGATATGGAATTGAATTTTGTGATACAGGATGCGCAGAATATCAAACATATGCTGGAGCTGCTGGATCATTGTCCGCCCAATTTGCAGGTGAGTTTTTCTATTTCTTTTTTTTAACAAAAAACAAACAATTGTCAAAGTAACTGCCCAAAAATCCCTTGAATGTATATGTTGGTTACTTTTTAATAGAATTTAATTCGATTCTCGCTGCGGCATCAAAGGAAATTAACAACAAAGAGGCGTGGCTGTCGAAATTGCGCGTAATGAAAACGCAACATCAACATGAAATGCCTTTCAGCCCTCTGTTTTTTTTAACCCGTTCTGAGCTTTGCTTCTGGTTTTCTTACATTTTTTTTTCCTCTCCGATTTGCATATGAATTTGTGTATATATATAGAGAGAGAAATGGCTTTCACAAAGTTTTTTATAGAATTTGTAATAATAAATGCGAAAACTCTCATACAGAAATAATTGAGGTTTTTTAAACATCTTAAAAAGTGTTTAAAATTATACTACAAAGTTGTACATTATAAAAAAAACGCAGTTTTAAACTGAATTTGATTTTTTTAAAATACTATTGCATACTTTTAAACGCATTTTAAAATTTTTTTTAGGGAAACTATATTAATTTCGGGTATTTTCTGGTTTCTGTTAATCAAAAGATTTTTTATTATATTTTTTATATTAAAATCAGTAATTTTTGCAAATTTTTTTATTTTAAAATATCGTAAAACGGATTTAGTATGTATTTGTTGTTGAACAAAAATTTAAAGCATACATTTTTGCAGCATTTTTAAATGATTTTCAAAGAAATCAATTTTCAAAATGTTTTTTTAAAATATTTAGAAATTTAGAAAATTTGTTTAAAGATTAAAATCAAATTACCGTCCAAAAAACTTTTTTGAATAGAAATCTGTTTTATTAAATTAAGTTTTTAATAAGATATATTTTTAATATTTAAAAATTAAATTAATTTAAATTTTTCTCCAAGTGTATGTGTGTGTCTGTGGGTGGCATCGTCACGAGCTGAGTGTGCCAGTGGCCGTGTGTGTTTGCGCTTAACAATATTTTACACCTGACGTTGTCGCTGTTCGCTCGCTTGTGCCATCAAATTATTAGCATGACTGCCGGCGAAAGGATCCAAAGTGTGTGTGTGTGTGGGTGTGTGTGTGTGGGTGTATTTCTCTTTTTATTTCTCCATTTTTTATACCAACTAACGTGTGCGTGTGTTGACAGGAAGTGTTTTCTCCTGGCAGGCTGAGTGGGTGCGCTGGTTGCTGGTTTTCTGGTTGTTGCCGGTGTCATCCCAAAGTGCGAAGGCGCAGACATCGGAAACTGGTAGCTACCGTAAGCATCATATATATGTATGTACATATATGTATATATCCATCCATCCAATGGAAAATCGCAACAAAGTTGCCGCTTTATGAGTTTCCATTGCATTGGTTCGTTGACCCACCACCACCTACCTTTCTATAGCAAAATTCAACCGTTAACCATTGGAAAAACTCACTGGGAAATATCATTCAGAAAATAACAAAAAAAAATGTATTAAATTCCAGGAATAACAAGAAATTTTTGGTTCACACAGAAGCGCGCTGATGCATATCAAATGGCATTTAGCCAAATATTTTGCTTAATAATGGGCGAAAAACAACACTCTCTGTGTGCTTTTGTTGTTGCGGTTTATCTGATAATAATTCTATAGAATTATGTATTTAATTTAATTTATGTGTTTTGTTTAAAACGCATTTACTACTATGTCAGGGGTTTTTATAAAATTGTTTAAGTTAGAAAGCAAACAAATTAATTTTTAGAGAATTTGAAATACTTTTTTTCGAAGTTAAAATATTTTATTAATTTTGGTTCCGATTTTTTTAAGGTCTTTAAATATTTTTATGAATGAATTAATTTTATATAGATTTTTAAATAATTTTTCTTAAAGTTAAAATATTATTTAACCTTGGTTCTGATTTTTTTAAGGTCTGAACTTATTTTTAATAATTTTGTTTGGTAGTAACAATGTATATTTTAGTTACTGAGAGCATCTTTTTATTATTTTTTAAGTTGGAAATTAAAATAATGAATTTTTATAGAATTTGAAATCTATTTTCTAGAGGTTAAAATATTTATTAAACTTGGTTCTGATTTTTTAATAATTTTTTTGGTGGTAAAAATATATTTACTTACTGAGAGCATCCTTTTTAGGCTTCTTCCTTACCAAATGCCGCTGGAAGTTGGCTTTTACTCCTTGTTGTTTCTGATTTTTCGTGGGTGGTGTGTCGTCGTCTTACCTGTGAAACGTCGGTGTGGGTGTATATTTTGAGTGTGTTTGTGCCTGGCAAACAAGCGATCCATTTAAGAGCGTCTTACATATGGCACACATGCAAAACACACTCAGACACCACACACTCTACACACACACACACACACACAGCACACCCTATACACTCTCCCCCAAAAATCAGCCCCTGTAACTACTCTTTAATGATATGCGTCAGTTGCTTGTTTCCGCTTTGTTGGCCTAGATGTTTGCTCTTGTTGCGGTTGAAGCCTCACAATTTATTTGGCTTTTTAAATTAATGAAAATTGTCAGTTGACAAATTTTGGCAGTGTGCGTGTGTGTATGCGTGTGCGTGCGTGGTGTTGTGTTGTGGAGCATGTGTCGTCCCTGGATTGTTGGCATATGTAAAACAAGCATCAAATATGCATCATCGGTGTGGTGGCGCCAGAGGATCTCTTACTTCATTTGGCATGCGAGGCAGGTGTGAGCCCCCCTACCTCCCCCCCACCACACAGAATTTACGAGCATTTTATGGGCACTAAGGAAAGCCACCACCTACCCTATCCCTTATACCAAGCTGTCCCCTCCGAGGATATTATAAGTTGGCCCTGAGGCCTACAAAAGAAGGGGATTACCTGTATACATTTTTTAAGGCCATTTCTTGGGCTTACTTTATCTTATCTTTACTTTATCTGTAAAACAAAATATTTATATATATGGGCATGTCCACGGGTCGCGAACGTACGTTCGTACGCTTTAAGTGCAAAAAAAAAATATTAAAAAAATGTTTTCCGAAACTTTTTTTTTGCCATTCGATAGTATTTTATTAGCTCTTTGCTAAGTGTAAATGATGGGCTTCGTTAAGTTTTCATTTTCATAATATTGCCAAAAAACATGCGGTCGCGAACGTACGAAAAATGGAAGTCGACTTTGGCTTAATCTAGTAAAATGAAGAAATCTGCGAATTGGGACGGAATATTCTAAAGCAATAACTTTACTTTTAAAATAGAATCATGTGGCTTTCTATTGAGTCCTTTCCCAAAGAAATATCTCCATTGGTTTTTTTTAAATTGAATTAAGTACCGGTCGCGAACGTACGGGTCGCGAACGTACGATTTTTCCAACATGGAAAAAAAAAAATAAAATTTAGTTAAACCTATTTTTTATTTAAGGAAATATGAAGTTATTCATAAAAATGTAGTGCTAAACCAAAAATAAGCAACATGCTGTATTTGTTTAATTTTTTTTTAAATACTACTTCTTTATGAATATCTTCATAGTTCTTTAAATAAATAATAGGCTGTCTAAACTGTGTTTAATTTACATATTTTTACTTTTGTCCTTTATTTTAGCCATCTAACAATATTTATATGCTTGTTAAACAAAAAAAAAATATAAAAGTTAAAAAAAAAAAATACTCACGGTCGCGAACGTACGCTACTTTGAAAATCAATATAAAATCAATGGTTAGTAGTAACTAAGAAGTTTTTATATATTTCAAATAGTACTACCGAAATGACTTTAGACAAGAGGTTTTATCTATCTGCTTGCATTTATCGCAAAGCAATGACAAAAACATGATGTTTTGGGTCGCGAACGTACGATTTAAACATAGATAAGAAGTAAACTTAAAATTAACAGTTAATTGAACAATATTTCGCTCTCTTTTGAATTTTTCTATTCTTATTAGATTGTAATAAAGAGATTTGGTAGAAAAAGTCCCAACATAACATACGTTTTCCTTGCGAAATAAATTAAAATAAACATGCCTTTAAAAGTAGTAAAAAGTGAAAAAAATACATTTTTTCACTTTTCAGGCTAATTTCTTCCAGAAAACAACTGAGATATAATATGGATCCATTGTATTATGAAAATTTAGACATTTCTTTATGACAATACACCAAAAGAAACCAGGATAACGAAGATTTTTTTTTTCGGCCGTGGTTTACCTTTTGGCGGATATGCCCATATATATTTTATTTATTATTTATATAAATGTATTATTACTAAAAATATAGAAAATTTTAACAAATGTTGCATTTCTCGAATGTAAACATTATCGAAAAATATGGTATTAATATAATATTATTAACAAATATTGCATTTGTTTAATTTAAATATTATCGAAAAATATCGCCAATGAAAATGATGGATATTTATAGAATATAAGTGACAATTATCGCATTTGTTTTATGTTCATTTTATCGAAAAGTATCGCATTCATCGAGAAATATGATATTTATAGAATACTAATGACAATTATAGCATTTATCAAATCTTGATAATATAGAAAACTTAGTAATATATCGATAATTATGGCATACTTCGATATATATCGATTTAAATATCGTTTTTTAACATTCCTTATTATAAATCATTTCGAAATATTTCAGTTTATATAGTTTTCTATGGTAATTTTTCAAATGAATAACAATTTAATATTAATTCTTAATATAATTTATAGTTTGGTTATTTCAAAGACTCTTCCCCTTCGATCTTTTTGTAAAAAAAAAGGTCCAGGTTGTGTTAAACTAACACTGTGCATGCAGGCGTCTTAAATGATTTATGTTCAACTACAGGAGGAGCAGTCCTTTCACTAGCTCTGTTTCACAATCCTCCCACCTACCACCTACCACCCACCACCTGCTCCCACCCTTTGACAATCGTCGACAGCAGCCGTCGCCCAATTGATTCGGCACGTAACTGAGGCAAGTGCAAATAACTGTTTTAGTCCTTGTCCCCGTGACAGGTGCCCCGCCCTGGCAGCCAAACCCACCATCATCTCACCCTTACCTTGATGGCCATAAC